ACACACACACACACACACACACACCCTCTGCACATCAGTTAGGAAATCAACCACTGCATAGAAGATTCAGACAGGGAGGGCCCATTATATATTTAGCAATGGTAGTGAAGCAAAATCAGTAAAGTTGTATGGCCTCTTCAAAATCAGTGTGTCCGTTGTGGGGGAAAAAATAGCAAATGAGGTGGACTGTAATCCACAAAACCACACATACTTGTTAGTCCTCAAGGAACTGTACAAAATGCTTAGTTACATGTACTACAGGGCTACAAGATGTCATATTTGCTGCAAAAGTCTGAATTGTTTCAGATCCTACTCTCTGATGATCCAGAATGCACTGTCTCTTTCTACAAAACTGTCCATAAGCGCCTAAAAGTTACTTAAGTGGTGTTCAGCTGATGCAGACCTGCAGAACATTTGCCCAGCAGCTAATATATGCTTCTCATGGGAGGTAGAAAAAGACACTCCTAGAGAAAGATAACAATCTTGTGGCTCTCTAAAGACAGCAAGGTTATTACGGCATTCCCTTTGGTTTTAGAGCCAGGAAAAACAGCTGATTGGCACTCCTTTCTAGCATCTCGAGGAATGGCTGGCACGGAAGAAACCTATCTTCACCCTTGCAGAAACGGGGTGACGGTGGCAGCTGATCTTCAGTGCCAGGTTGGGGGCTCTGAGTTGGCAATCCAGCCGCTCAGGTGTGTTGTGTCGCTGTCTCAGGGATGAGAGGGAAACGAAAGGCCCCCGAAGTCCAGCCCGCCGGACAGCCCACCAATGCAGGGGCCCAACCTGAGCTGCGCTGGGAGCGTGAGATCAGTGGCAACAAATGGCAGGCGTTCCCACCTGAACAGAGCAAGGCTCTGAGTCAAGCAACTTGGTAAGTTGGCTTCCTGGAGGTGAAGAAGAAGACAGCAGCCTGGAATTGGTTGGAGCAGTGTTTCTTAACCTTGGCAATATTAAGATGTGTGGTCATCTAAAACCAGAAATCCCTCTAAAAACAATCCAGCGCTTCGAGGTGTTCGCGGTAGAATCCCTCACACCAGCT